GTACTTCGGACACATTGTCAGGAGGGACAAGTTGTTGGAGAAGGATATCATATTTGGTAAGGTGGAGGGTCAGAGAAAAAGAGGAAGACCCCCAGTGAGATGAACCGGCAAAGTGGCAACATCAGTGGGCTCAAGCGTGGCAACAATTGCGAGGTTGGCTGAGAACCGGGCGGTGTTTTCGTTCTGTTGTGCATAGGATCACTATGAATCGGTACCGACTCGATAGCACCTAACAACAACAACAACAATCACTTCTTTTTTCTACTTTCTTGTATTGGTAGGAAGAGATTTAGTTTTGTGTGCTGTGTTTTGTTAGTATTTATTACTGTTTTGCTAATAATACTTTTTTTAATCTCTTCCCAGTTCTTATCAGGAGAGGATCAATGAATGTGAAAGCAAGTGATTTTCATTTACTGTGTCAACATTTTAACTTCACTGTAGCTCTAATGGATTACCGCTTGGAGGGATACAACAGTACCTGTAATCTAAATATCCTCACTAGAAAGCCAGAGATCGTGGTGGAAGATCCACCTGGGGAAAAGTCTCTAAACCATTCTTGTAGATTTATAGAAGGCCCGAATAACTGTATACATGTTTCTTTGAACCAAGAAATGGATGTAAAAAGTAAGTTTTAAAGGACATTAGATGGAAAGGGAGAAAATGGAAACAGACCTAGAATTACACGAGGGCTATCACAATAACGTCACTAAAAGTCCAGTGATGGTGGTGGTGGTGGTTATGTTCTGGAGAGTCAATTCTGACTCATAGTGACCCTGTATAGGATTTCTGAGGTTATAAATCTTTTATGGGAGCAGAAAGTCTCATCATTCTCTTATGAGCAGTTGGTAGATTTGAACTGCTCCCTTCCTGAGACTATGTTAGTCCTTTTCTCTATTTTTCATTCAAATGTGCTTTCCATGGGACCTAGTTATAACCTGAAGCAAATGAAGCATGTATGTGATGTGATTTGAGGAGCCCTACTAGCCACAAGGTCGGTGGTTCAAACCCACCAGCAGCTCCTCAGTAACCCTATACAAGGTGGCTATGAGTTGGAACGGACTTGATGGCACTTAATAACAATAAGAAGAAAGACCCTCTGCTCCAGAATAAATCCCCAACATGCTTGTTAGCTGTGCTTGAAATGATACTACCACAGTGAACTTGGTATTAAAAGGTTAGATTTTTTTTCAAATGTAGATACCCACATATTGTGATGCACAATTAAAATCTTACTTTGAATTGATTTAAAGTGTCCTCCTTTACCACTAAGGAGCCCTGGTGGCTCAATGGTTAAAACACAGCTGCTAACTGAAAGGCTGGTGGCTTGAACACACCAGTTGTTAGAAAGATGTGGCAGTCTGCTTTCATTAAGATTGTTGTTGTTGTTAAGTGCCTTCGAGTCAGTTCTGATTCATAGGGACCCTGTACAGGGTTTCCAAGGAGCTGCTGGTGAGTTTGAACTGTCTATCTTGCTGTTCAAACCATCTTTTTGGCCCAGTGCTTCTCCTACAGTGCCACACAGAACTCCCATAAAGCTTATAACCTTGTAAGACCAAGGGACAGACTCGTGGTATGGCATTGTGGGTTAATGCACTGCATTGCGAAGTAGGTTTAAACCTCAAGATCGGAGGTTCAAGCTCACCAGCCGCTCCTGGGAACCTGTACACAGTGTTGCTGTGAGTTGGAACTGACCTGACAGCACTTAACAACCTAGTCACCGTCTTCTGAGTTATTTCAGTCTTTTGTTTCCACTGACTAAGCAGTATGGTCTTACTTCACCTGTAAAATCAACTCCAGGAGAGCATCTTATGCCATAAGCACTTAATGAGCTTCTGTTGTATGCCAGGCACCATGCCATGTACTAGAGACCCAGGTACAGACATACATGAAACAGTCTGGGGGAGGGAGATGCCACACATGCACAAGTCATTGATCCCAGTGCTAAGTTAGAGCCATTTGCTGTGTTGCTTGGTATTCCAGACATATGGAAGGCTTTCAGATTGTTTTGGAATACTTTTCCAAAACTTTCATTATTCTCATGGTAATTCACTTTAAAACATTACTTTTATTTTAAGGAGATGCAAACATATAATGTGCATGTATTTATTTCAAAGGTAAAATGTAAGACTTTAAAGAAATTTCTCCTGTGAGTTACTTTGCCCAGGGGCCTTATAACCTCTGTAATGTATGAGGGGAGAGAGGCGGTGTTGAGGGTGAGATAAAAAAGGCAGCATTTACCTTAGGTTAAAGTTCAGAAGACCTAGACCTTTTTTAAAGATATCAGCGTGAGGACTAAGGTGTGCCTGACCCCAGCCATGGTATTTTCAATAACCTCATATGCATGCGAAAGCTGGACAGTGGATAATAAGGAAGACCGTAGGAGAATTGATGCTTTTGTCTTATGGTATTGGAGGAGAATATTGAAAGTGCCATGGGCTGCCAAAAGAACCAACAGATCTGTGTTGGAAGAAGGGCAGCCAGAGTGCTCCTTGGAGGCCAAGATGGCCAAACTTCGTCTTTCATATTTCAGACATATTGAGGGACTGGTTGCTGGAGAAGGATATCATGTTTGGTAAGGTGGAGGGTCAGAGAAAAAGAGAAAGACCCCCATCAATGGGCTGAAGCATGGCAACAATTGTGAGGTTGAACCAGGACTAGGCAGTGTTTCATTCTGTTGTGCATAGGGACTCTATGAGTTGGTTCTGATTCATTGGCACCTAACAACAACAAAGTTCAGAAGGAGGAATGGAAAATTGGAAAAGTGAAAAATAAGTAAATAGAAGAATAATAGACTTTAGAGACAGATGTACTGATGTCAGAATTCTTGCACTACCACTTAATAGCTATGTGACTTGGAGCAAATTACATATCCGAGAGTAATTTTTCTCTTCTGTAAAACAAGGGCAACCCTCTGTAAACAGGGCCGAGATAGGGACTGAATTAGAGCTTGCATAAGAAGTTTAACACAGTATTTGATGCATAGTTACATGAGCCTTAGTTCAACCCTTTCCTACTTTCTCTCTCTCTTCCTCATTCTCCTTAAACCATACCATCATCGTTTACATGACGGCATGTTTTTGTGCTGATTGCTCAGAGTCAAAACTATCTGCTACAAATGGCTCTGACTCTGAGAGTCTGCTGTGGTCTAATCTAGGGGTAACTACTGATATCAACATAACTGGTAACTGAACTTGGTCCTAGAATTTTGGAACTGAACAATTTCTAGAAGTCACCTGATCAAGTTTTCTTACTTAATACACCAGGAAATAATTGAGGAGGGTAAGGGCAGAATATGTCACGTTGTTGTTGTTAAGAGCCATCAAGTCGGTTACAACTCATTGGGACCCTGTATAGGGATTTCGAGGAGCAGCTGATGAGTTTGAACTGCCAGCCTTGTAGCTAATCCTATAGTGCCACACCAGAAGTCCACAATATGTAATAGCAGCCAGGTATTGTAGCGCTGTAGAATAAGCATTGGACTGCTAACTGCAAGGTTGGTGGTTCAAACCCACCTCTTGTTCCTTGAAAACCTTAGTCTCTGTGAGTTGAAACCTATTCAACAACATATAAAAACAATAACATATGTCCACATTGTCGCTTTTTTATTGCATCATTTAATTGTAGTTTTACAGTTTTTGTTTTTTTTTTCCTTACAGATTTCACTTGTTCCATGAAGATCATCTGGTATGTTTTAGTTTTGCTAGTTTTTATATCGTTGATCATCTTCATTATCCACAAAATACTTGAAGGCCATAGGCGAGTGCAGGAATGGCAGAGTAAGTATAACTAAAACCATCTTTTGGAATAATCCATTTACGTTTCAAGGAAATACTAATTTTATTCCTGGATATAATTTCCTTATTAGTTTAATTCGACACATCTACTGTCAGCTACCACCTGTGTGTCAGTGGAGGCTGGTGTGTTCCTATGATACTGAACAGGTGTCAGTGGGCTATCTAGACTAAAACAAGCTAGGGAGAAAGGCCTGAAAATTCAGCTCATGAAAATCCTGTGGAGTACAATGATTCAATTTCATTGTGCATGAGGTTGCCATGTATCAGGGACCAACTCAACGGTAGCTAACAACAACACTATTTGTAAGGGGGCATATAAGCATAAATAACACACAGCACCAGACTCCAAAGAACTTCATGTGTCTTTCGACTACCCAGACAATGAATTAGGAAGAAAAGAATGACTGGATGAGTAGGATGGCCTAGAAATTCAGATGCACTGAAGCAGAAGTTAGTGAACGTGAAGATGGAATGGAGGTAGAATAACAGGAGTGGTTATAAAGAATTTTAGAGGTGGAGATCTTAAGCAGGAGTGGTTCTAGGAGATCTATGTAGTTGAAGGCATTCTTAAATGGCTGTAAGAGTGTCTGTAAATTAATGGCAGGGTAGGGTCGAAGTATATAATTGTAAATCAGAATGTTGTTGTTAAGTGCTGTCGACTTGGTTCATACTCTTAGTGACCCTGCATAGGGTTTCTGAGGAGCAGTTGGTAGGTTTGAACTGTCAGCCTTTTGGTTGGCAGTCCAGTGCTGATCCAATAGCACCATACCAGAGGTCCAAATAAGAATAGTGGGGTGATATTAACTACTAACATCAGGTAAAACAGGGGCTCATCTAACCAGATGGACATTGTCTGTGAACTACTGGTTCAACCCTATGGGTGTGGATCCATGCACATACGGGCTGAATATTAAGCCTGTTGGACAGTTCATAGCATGAGTAAATCATCTCTGAAAGACAGTATAAAATGTATCATTATAAGAATAGGCTTGGGTGATGTGAAAGGCTATATACAATAAGAGAGAGGTCAGCAAAAAATGAGGAAGATGCTGGGAGCACTACAAGAATGAAAGGCAACAGTGTTAACTACCGCAATACACACACTCCTGCAATAAAGGTGGATGCATTGATAGACACAAAGACTGAATGGGTGTGTGAGGGAAAGTGGGACTATAGGCACGAATGCATAGAGGTTCGACAGAGGCTATTTAAACTGGTGTGGTGCTGCAGGTCAATGCACTGGACTGCAGAGTCAATTTGAACCTCAAGGTTGGTGGTTCAAGCTCAGCAGTTGCTCCTTGGAAACCCTATACAGTGTTGAAACTGACTCTACATCACTTAGCAACAACAACATCAACAATTTATACATGCAGTAATAGAAAGCTACATGTGGATCTGGCAATCTACTTATGCAAAAATTGGGCAGTGAAAACCTTATGAATAGCAGTAGAACGTTGTCTGATGTAGTACTAGAAGGTGAGCACCTCAGGCTGGAAGGCACTCGGACTATGACTGAGGAAGGGCATGACTCCAAATGAGAAGAAACAGCTGAAAGCATCCACTAATAATTAGAAGGTGGAATGTACAAATATGAGTCTGGGAACATTGGAAGTTGTCAAACTTTAAATGGAAATGGACCGTTAAACTTCTTATTAGCCATTTTGAATCAGTCTTTTAAGTTGGGAATGACAAATTAAAGATAAATTATTTCACATTCATCATCAAAAAGAACATTTCAAGATCTATCATGCAGTATAACACAGTCAGTGACAGATAACATAAATATGCTTACAAGGAAGACAAGTTAATAGGACTATTATAAAATTTACACACCAATCACAAGTTTCCAAAGTGAAGATTTTACCAACTTCGGCAATCTGAACTTGATCAAATATACAATCATGATGTGTTGATAATTACTGGTAATTGGAAATAGAAATTTGGAAATAAAGAAGAATAAGTAGTTGGAAAATAAGACCTTGATGACAGAAAAGATGCATGATTACATGGAACAATTTTGCAAACCCACAGTCTTTTCTTTGGAAATACTTTTCTTTCAACAACATAAATGGTGACTATACACATGGCTCTCACTGAATAGAACACATAGGAATCAAATCGACGGCATCTGTGGATTTCCAGAACGTTTAACTGTGCTCATGAGGAACCTGTACATAGACCAAGAAGCCTTCGTTCAAACAGAGCAAGGGTGCATTGAATGGTTTCAAATCAAGAAAGGTGTGTGTCAGGGCTATCTTCTTTCACCATACTTATTTTGTTCTGTTGTGCATAGGGTTGCTATGAGTCAGAACCGACTTGATGACACCTAACAACATCTGTGGAAAGAGAGGATATAGAAGCTCAGTGTCAGTCAAAACAAGGCCAGGGGATACCTGCAAAACAGACCATCAATTATTCCTATGAAAGTATGTGTTAAAGCTGAAGAAAATTACAAGTCCACCAGAGCCAAAATATGACCTTTACTATACCTCACTTGAATTTAGAGACTGTCTCAAGAATAGGTTTGATGCAATGAACACTAATGACTGAAGACCTGGCAAGTTGAGGGATGACATCAAGGACACCATACATAATGAAAGCAAAGCAAAAACATAAACAAAACCCCAAACCCACTGCCATAGAGTCAATTCCAATTTATAGTGACCCTCCACAGAGTTTTTGAGACTAAATCTTTACAGGAGCAAACAGCCTCAACGTTTTCACCTGGGATGGCTGGTAGGTTTGAACAGTCAACCTTGTGATTGGTAGCCCAATGCCTAACCCAAAAGGTCATTAAGAAGACAGGAAAGAAAGAAAAGCTCAAAATGGATGTCAAAGGAGGCTCTGAAACTTGCTTTTGAGCAGAGTAATTAAAGTGAATGGAAGAAATGATGAAGTAAAGGAGATGAACAAAGGATTTCAAAGGGTGGCTCCAGAAGACAAAGTAAAGTATTAAAATGAAATGTGCAAAGACCTGGAATTAGGAAACCAAAAGTGAAGAACATGTGCAGCATTTATGAAGCTTGAAAGGACTGAAGGGAAAAAAAATTGAAGCCTCAACCTCAATTTGCTATGTTGAAGGATTCTATGGACAAAATATTGTACGACACAGGAAATATCAAAAGAAGATGAAAGGAATAAACAGTCATTGTACCAAAAAAAAAAAAAAA